GAAAGCTCAGAGAATGAAGAAGTCGAAGTAGAAGAGCAAGAAGAAGTTGAAGGTGAAGAGTATGAGGAGGTTGAAGTAGAAGAAGAGCCCAATACAACAGATGACGAAGAGAAGGAAAACAGAACTCCAGACTAAATGGTCAATGATGGAGCAATCAATGCCCGAGACACAAAGAAGACCAACTCTGAGAGTTAGAAAGTTTCACACTGGAATTTAGAATTTTGTAGAAAAGAGGAAAGGAGTAGGAGTGTGCGAGAGGCCACCCACTCCTAAGGCGGGGTGACAGAAGTAAGCATGTGCACCCTGCAACAAGGATGACACGCACTAAATCATGTGTGTGCATGTACTTGAAACATAGCGGTTCGAGGATCTCGGAAAAGCCCGCGATTTTCAGACATCCCCAGGCCTTGGCGAGAAAAAGATCAATCACGTTGCGCGAGTTTCCTCTCGTTTTGCGGTCTCATGTATGCAAAAATGAAGGGCTCACTCGTGATAACGTATTTGTTTCATAAGTTAGTAAGTTGGCTTAAAACAAAGCTTAGCAAAGAACTTGGTCCATCTTGATGTCCATCCATATGCATTCGCATGTGTTGCACTTGTTCATCGCTTCAGCATGTTAGAGGTCCGATCCGGTTGTGCAAATTTCCTTTGTCCATGCATGGGAAAAACTGTTATGACTTTGGCTTTCAAAAACTTTGAGCCAAATTTGCGAGATCAAAGACACTGATTTTCTTTCTTTGTTTGTGGGAAGGGATTGATGCTGCCATTCGACAATGGTTGGTGGTCGCGGTTCGAGAATGACTGTGGAGATCCGGAACACAGAAGGCTAAGCTAGAACATCTTCAGCGTACTGGTTTGAGCGCAGAATTGTTTTAGCACATTGGACATGGTTCAACAAACGAAACATCAAGATCACAACTTTCAACCAAACAGTTTTCAAAACCACAAACGCTTCCATGCCTGGAGTGCCAAAAGTTTCTTACTCGCACAGATTGAAAAAACCGAACGGTTTCCTTTTGGGTAGAACAACAGCTTCAAAGCCTCAAAACCATGTCCAGTTCTATGCCGGAGGACTTCGACATTTTGCAGCCGCAGTGTGATTCATTGGTCAGTTTCCTCTGTGCCAGGATGGCAAGCATGGAACTCAGACGTCTCGGTGAATGGTTATGTGAAAAGAGCAAAAATCTTAGGTTGGAGGCCATCGCTACTAGGGTGGAGGCCATCGCTACTAGGGTGGAGGCCATCGCTACTAGGGTGGAGGCCATCGCTACTAAAACCATTCTTTTAGATTCTAAACAGTGGTTTGGTCCCAGGAGTTCCCAGAGCCAAGAACTACCTCTTGATGCGGACGATCCTTCTTTTGGATTTGCCTTCAGATGTTTATTCATTTTGTTTGTAAAGCGAGTGGCCCATTTGTTCGTGGGTTCCATTACAAACATTTTGAGATTGCAAGAAGATGTCAGGCCGCTTCTTGACATTTGACATATGTTGTGCATTTTACCTGCTTCTCGTAGCGCCCTTCTCAAAATTGTGTGTGACTCGCAACGCTTCCGAAGATGGTTTGATGCTCAATGAGTGTGGGCGTTCCAACTTTGGTGATTCTTGTTTCACGAATCGAATCTGCTGAATCGCACGCCGACAGCCGTAATTCAGATCTTCACCACCTGAGGTTTTTGGAATTACTGGTGGAGGTACCAAGCAGAATTCAGATCGTGCTTCCGAACTGTATCATATTATTGGATAATTGTTATTTCAAAGTTCGATAACTCACCGTTTTGCCACTGAAGTATGTCCTTTATTGAACCTCGAGTCTGGCTTGAAATCGTACCAGGAAAGAAGGAACCAGAAGATGCTACCCTGAACAAGTACAGCCTGGAAACCCAGCCCTTTGTTCCCCTTTGAGCACCTTCGGCTTCAGTGCTGTCAACTTGAGGCCTAGTCTTCTCCTACCCAGAGCTGCAGAAAGCCACAGATGATTTCTCTCCGTTCCTTGGAAACGAAGAAACAAGTGCCTCGCTAGTAGTAACAGGTGCCTTACTAGTAGTAACAA